AGCAGTTATGACAAGTTGTACCATATATACCTACAAATGTATTTTAATATAGGCATGTTTCAGTTTTCAGTTCTGCTATGACAGATCCACACTGATGTCCCTCTTTATGGATGCTATAAGAAATACTACAGATGGCCGAAAGCTGAGCCACACACGAAAACATCTGAACATGTTTGATTAAATCTGATGCAGTGGTAAGTGTTCACTTTAAGCTGCATACTGACAGAAATAAAAGAATTACAACACATTTTACATGACAAGTTCCCTATTAACAATACCTCAGCAGTGAACAAAGTAACTTGAATCATGTTAAAATCAGATGAGGAAATGAACGATCAGGTTGTGATTTACATCATATCCTGAACATGATTAAAACCAGGATCATATAAAAGACAAAATATTCTCATGACATCATTCCCGCAACATATCTTCAGCGTCAATATTCAGAAGCCAATCTGCACCATGATAGGTCACAATTTTAACCGACTAAGCTGAAGGTCTGCACAGATAAATGAAAATTCTAACTTGTTAAAGAAACGTGTTTATTTTTTTTTGTTTTTTATTTTTAAATCCTCTTCAGACAAAATTAAGACTTTTTAAAATTCTCAAACTATAGTATCTGATAAATATATTTAATATTTCCTCATTCTTCCTGACAGAAATCTCAGTCCTCAAAGACACAGAGTGCATTAAAAATGTAATATTTGCTCATGAAATGTAGTGAAAGCTAAAAACAACAGCTTAAGAACGACCTCCGACAACAACCAAAACCATCAGACAAATATAATCAAAAGAGAAAGTGGCAATAAATGGTATGAAATTTTAAAAGTAGTCAATTTGAGATTTATACAAAAACTCCAGTAAAGCTGTTTAAATCCTGTTCTACAGAACTCAGCCATTCTGACACTTGTTTTCTCCTAAACATTCTTCTGTCTCTTCGGTTTGACCAACACAAGTTTGGTTATTTTCCTCAAAAGAAAAGATTTTGATGCAGAATGATTAAATGAGACTTCTGAGCTGCTTTTAAATCATTCAGTGGCGTTATCTGGTGGAGCTGGCCTTCACATCTGTCATTTAGCAAATGCTACTAAATAAAATGGAAAGAGAACAGAACAGAATGTGTTGCTATAAAGCTCTGCTCTATTTTCATTCAAAATAAAAAAAACAAAACTTGTTATTGTATTTTTAAAGCCTTTAAATACAGAGACAGACACAGAGCTGGAGAATTGAGTTTGCTCAGTTAAATATTGTGAAGCCACAACAGAAATGACGAAGTAGACGATTGAGAGACCAAAGCTGAGCAACATGGAGAACCAGGAAAACGCTAGCGAGCTCACAGACGGATATAAAGATCATGTTTCCACCGAGGGACTCATGTATCATCAGGGTCCCAACTTCCCAGGACCAGATGGAAGGTTAAACGTTGGACTCGCTTCGAGGCTCTGGGATTATCGGCCATTGCCTTTTTTTGAAAACTTGAACCTGGCTGAAGAGAACACAGCACTCAGACAAGAGCTGAGACGCTGTTTGCAAAAGATGGAAAAGTTTCACACCATGATGGAGGCTGCAAACCAGGAGGCTCAGGATTACAAGACTCAGCTGGAGGGCGCTGGCCAGCAGCTCCAGGAAGCTCGCCAACAGCTGGCAGAGCGGGCTGCCGCTCACGAGAAGGACAAAGAGGAACTCCACGAGCTGAAAGCACAACTCAAGGAGCTGCAAAACCAGGAGAAGAGCAACACAGCGACAGAAGAAAAAGAAACCGTCGCTGAAGCCAAGGAGGGCGTGGACGCTGACGTGAAGCCTGCCNAAGCTCTGTGTTAGCCCTTCTGATGTCGACTCGAATCACATCCAAAACAAACCATTTCCTGCTCTTCCAGTGATACATATTTCCATAAAGTAACTGAAAACACCCACTGCATTGAAGGAGAAAAATAAATAAGAACGCGCATGCAAAGCAGCAAGAAAGCAGCGTGGAAGTGGATTCAAGAATGTAAAACTACACTGAAAACTAACAGTTTATTAATATAGCAAAAGGTGCTTAGAGTTGAAATCATTGTGTGAAATTCTAATCGTTTGTGGTGTGACAGAGAACATGACAAATCCAAACAACCTAATGATTACAGAGCTTGCTATCAGCTTTGTTCTTAATATACTAGGAGCCATATATTTTTGTTGTTATTTTTACCAACCACTGGGGGGCGTAGAACCTCTTAAAGGTGGCCCAGATTATATAAGGGCACAACACTGATGACAGGTGATTGTCAATCAGTGGGAAGCGAACAGTTTTTTGACTTTTATCGGATCGAAGGAATGGAGTAATGGGATGTTCTGTATTTATGTTTAATTTATTCGGACTGAAATACGAAAATAAATAACTGGAAGCAAAGGTGTTCTGAGACACTGAGTTTGTGGTCCGATTAACACGTCAGAACCAAAGACACTGACATACAACCTGTAGAGCAGGGATCTCCAACTCCCATCCTCGTGAGCTACTGTCCTGCAGGTTTTTTTCCATACTGCAACACACCTGACTCAGATTAATGGATCATCAACAGACTTGTGTAGAAGTTGACAACCATCTGTTGGAGATCCATTCATTTGAGTCAGGTGTGTTGCAGTATGGAAACGTCTAAAACCTTCAGGACAGTAGCTCACCAGGACCGGAGCTGGAGATCTTTGCTGTAGAGGCTGGAAGTGGGACGTAGTCACGACACCGATGGTGCCAAAAGCTGAGCATGAAAGAATTTGTTTCTGCATATTCCATCTCAGATCATCCGGGGCCTTCTGCTCAACCATTCAGATTCTCAGATGCATTTGAAACTTTTTAAAATAAAACTATAAACATTTAAAATGGTATCTGTACAAGATTTTTTTTAAACTGCCCGTCAACCCACTTTTAGTACAATTTGCTCGCACATAAATATCAAATATAATGTATCAAATCTTTTATAACTGATGGAGCAGTTATGACAAGTTGTACCATATATACCTACAAATGNATGTGAGTGTGCTTGGTTGTCTGTCTCTAAGTGTAGCCCTGTGATAGACTGGTGACCTGTCCAGGGTGTCTCCTGCCTTCACCCTGAGTCAGCTGGAATAGGCTCCAGCCCCCCACGACCCTAGTGAGGATTAAGCGGTGTATAGATAATGGATGGATGGATGAAGAAATCATAGCAAGACTTTGTGGTTGAATAGATTTACTGCTACCAAAGAATGTTGAGCTACAGGTTAGGAGTTGCTTGAATGAGTCAAAGTAAAAAACTTCATAATATTACAAGTAGTCAGATGATGACTCCAGAAAAAAAAAATCCTTACGTAACAGTTAAATATTTACAGTTGCAGTTCTACACATTGTGATTCTTAAACTGTAGTTTGTGATCAGTGTGACATCTGATACAAAAAAAGACAAAAAAGCTCTCGAGCACAAATATTCTAATCTTTGGGTGGCGATACAAGGCAGTGAAAAGATAAGTAATAAAGCATTACATTTATCAAAAGAATAGTCACGTCCTTATTTAGGACGTCAACGTCTTTACGAAGCAACAATTCCAGCATTTAAGTAAAAACACTAATCCAGCATATTGTAAAAGGAAAACTCTACATTGTTTGGCTACAATTTAACTGTAGCTGCACCCCAATGATTTTCAACATGATCAGATATAAAAGAAAACGTCTCAAAAAGCTGCATAGTTTCTCTTCAACAGTCAGTCAAAAATGTTTGTCTTGTTTTCAATGAGATAAAGATTCCTTCATGTGAGCCGCCACCTTCTACTTTCTGCGTCTGGAAGAAAGACAACACAAGTCCACCACATTAATAATACACATTTAGAACGGCGTGCTCAGTATGTACTTGTATGCAAACACGTTTTTTTGCTTACTTTTGATAACTTGTGCTCGACACTGGAACCTAATGGGAGAAAAAAATAATGAAAATGATCAGAAATATCCATAAAAATGTCTCATGAAGAATTCTGAGAAAAACAACCAGGTAAAGGCCTTTGTTATTAAATATGAAGATGTGGAGAAGAATATTAGAAATACAGACTTAAATGTCCATAAAACACAAGCAGAGTTTAACAGTGATGTAATATTGACTGTATTTTTTTATTTTAAAAAGAGCTTACCCTGTTTTCTATGTCGTCCATGTGAGCCGGTCCTTCTGCAGACCCTGATCGCCTCTTGCGACTGAAACAAAGTTTGTATCCAGATAAAGCTTCTGAAGATTGAGGCCGTGCAGTAGGTATAGTTTGCACTTGTTCACATTTAT